GAAGTATTCATAGCCTCCCCTCGCTTTGACATTCAAAGGACCACATACATCGGTATGTATGATTTCAAGGGGTGTCTTTGCTCTTTCACCCTTTGCTGAAAATGGCCTCTTGGTCATTTTTCCTTCTAGACAAGATTCACAAACCGGTAGAGTGCCAACCTTTAGCTCTCTCAAAGGACCATCCTTTGCTAGTCTTTCAATCCTATCTATGTTTATATGACCTAGCCTTAGATGCCACAAGTATGGAAACCTTTCTTCTTTTAGGGGTTGTTGGTTCAGCGACTTTGAATATTTCGATTTGTAGCATTTCGTTGCATATGGGTTTAACAAAGTAAAGACCATCATCAACAAAATCAGAACAAATATGAATTCTATTCTTAGATAAAGATACAGAGTTAATATCAAAAGAAACTGAAACAAATTGTTCATGCAATCTAGAAACCGAAAGCAAATTTCGTTTGAAATTTGGAATAAAATAAACATTGTCTAACAATAAATATTTATCATTTGCAAAAGACAGTCGCACTGTCCCTACTGCCGTCGCTGAGATCCTTGCCCCATTGCCCACTCTCATCTGGAAAGATCCCTCTTTAAGATCCCTCGACGTTTCCAGCATCTGCAAAGAAGTACAAACATGATTAGATGCCCCTGAATCAACTATCCAGGTAGAGAAGACATTCTCAACTAAACATGTTTCCATGACCAGTAAATCTGATTTACCTTGCTTCTTCACTTCAGCTCATCGAGGTACTTTTTGCAGTTCCTCTTCCAATGGCCGTCCTAGTTGCAGTGGAAACACTTTCCCTTAGACTTTGGAGCAGCCTTATTCTGCTTGTTCTTCTAGATCTTCTTCTTCCATTTTCGCTTATTGTTCCCTTAATTCGTCTTCTTCTTATTCTTTGATGAAGAAGGCCTCCCCTTAGCTGCGTTGGCTTCAGCAACGTTTGCCTTGCCTCCCTTATCACCTATAAGGGATTCAAATTGTTGCAGCTCATTCAGGAGCTCAGTTAAGTTATCATTCTTTTGGTTCATCAGATAACTTGTCCTGAATGGAAGGAAATCAGGAGAAAGTGTCTCTAGTATGATACCAACCTGGGTCTTCTCATCAATCTGAGACCCATTAATTTCAGCCTCATTAAGATGATTAATCATCTTAAGCACATGCTCACGTACAAAAGAACCATTCTTCATACGGCCGTTCATAATGGCTTTGACAGCAGCGTGTCGGGCTGAATCAGATGGACATCCAAACATCCTCTGAAGAGTGTCCATGATCTCTCTAGCAGTCACAAGGCCTTTGTGCTGAGTTCTCAGCACTTCATTCATTGCTGCTAACATGTAACAACGGGCCTTGTTGTTGGCGTTGATCCAGCGGTCATATCGCTCAGTCAAATCCCTGGCGGCATTGGTTGGAGGCACTGGAGGACAATCCTCCTTAAGGACAAAATGGTAGTTTTCACAGATCAAGAGGATATTCATGTTGCTTTTCCATTTGACAAAGTTTTCACCATTCAAAATTTGGGAAGCGAGAAGTGCGAAAATAGGATTTGACATTTTTGCTGAAAATAAGGAATTTAACTCAATCAACATTTTGCATAAATATCACTACTAAATTTAAGGCATATAAATATGATGCATGAATGCACATGTTAAATACACAAATACAT